GTTTCTATGAAGATTATTCAATAAACATTGTCCAGAAAAAGCTAGATACTTTTAATGCATAATCTTCTGGAATGTTTATTAAACAATAACACTGAATGGTCTGACAGTTTTACTTCAGAGAATGTCCTTCTGACAGTTTTATTTCTGAAAATGTTATAACATTATTATGCATCCCACCAGTTACTGAAAACTCCTGTGCAATGTAATGAGTCTTACCAAAAGCACATGCAGCCGAATTAATATCAAGGATATTAATGCACTAGAGAAAGCCATATACTGGGAGTTGTGTGGTGGGCAGAAAAAGAATACAAAAAAGAACTGTGTTTCATTTTTGCAACAAAAAGGAACTGAAATAAGAAGAAACAGTAGTATAAGGATTTGAAAATTCAAATGTAAAAAGTAGATCCACTGAAAGGAGTATTTCGTTATGCGCGTTACATTTACTGTTAGTGCAGAGTCTCTGGACAAACTGAATTTAACAATCATATGATGAAGAGGTTCTAAAAAGTGACTTAAACCCCTAAATGCTCTTCAATTTTCTTCTGTGAATAGGTTTATGCATTTTCTGTGAGGCCACCCTGCAAGGATCCTTTTATCACCTGTTAAACAGATGCTTTTCCTCCTAACCAGAAAGAAAGCTCAGTCTAAAGTCCAGTACATTTAATACAATGCCTCCAAAGAAGGGAAGGCTTCAGTTGACTCAGTGCTTGGCCATAATGAACCCAGTAAATGTTGGTTTCCTGCAGTAAAAATAATAGGTGAAATCTTCGTCTATTGAAGTCAATGGGAACTTTGCCATTGATTTTAGCAGGGCCAGTATTGCAACCAATATATCTACGGAGCAAAATAAAAGAAGTGGGTGAAGGTAGGAAGGGCAATTAAAGTAACAGAACCTCTATGTTATTTCAGCCCTTGTTCCACCCTCTTTTGCCTGAGTGAATAGCTCCTGATACTCCTGAGATGTGCTCACAGAAACTGTGGTGGTGGTGTACTGAACACCAAATATTTACAAAAGCGTTGAACGAGTAATTCTGAAACAGGAAAATCAGCTTTGTTGTTATAATGAGTCAGTCTTGTATTCAGGCAGAGCTGTTTTAGGGGTGAGTAACCAAGGGCAATTGCCCAAGACTTGATACCATGGAGAGTCTGTTAGGCTACAATAATTAAAAGTATAAATTATCCAACAAGCCTCAATCTGTGCCTCTGTTCTTGCTGGTCAAAATGTGCTGTAGCTCCATACAGATGCAATTAGATCTTTCAAACACAATCCTTTCTGCAATGAGAGTAAAATAACAAGACAAAAAGATTGTTAAAAATATAAATGTCTTTTTATCTTTTCCTGTTTAGGTCCCTACCTGCATTTCTTTTTGTTGAAGGAACTAACTTTTGGTTTCTGATGTGTAATAACCGTAGCTACCATATTTTTTTAATGGGTTTTCCCAGACATCCATTGCACACATGCACCACGTGGTCCGTGTACAGCAAGGCAATTTCAGAAGGATGCAGACTAACAAATCAAACACTGTACAGTCACACCACAGGTCCTGTCTTGAAACAAAAGACACTGGATGTGATTAAATGTTTGTGTTGGTAACCCATCATGGGCAGTACCATAACTTGAAAGCCGTGTCTTTTATTAGGAGGTAAAATCTGTTGGAGAAATTTGAACTTCTTGTTCACGTGTTCCAGAATCTGGACCAGAATATAGAGGAGGACAGCCATCTAGTTTGTGGGGCTCTTTCACAGGGATTATTTGCAACCAAAGGATAGTTTTGAAAAACTGGTTAGAAAACAACAAAAAGTAAGAGGTGACTAAAAATACATTATCTGGTGTGAAAGAGATATACAGGCAAAATACATCTGAACAGACGGAGCTGTAAAATCTCCCTGGAACTACCTTCATAACTGTAGCACCTCTCATAGTAACAAACTAAAACAGAGCAGTAAAGTTACGATGGAGTGGAAAGTGGTGACATACATTGCAGACATTGTTTTCCAATACACAGTTTTCCTCAGCTGTTAAATCTCAGCCTCACCTCCATCTCTGGAAAAATCATGGCGTGGCTCATTCTGGAGGTCGTCTCTGACCACATGGAAGAGAAGAAGGTTCTCAGGACTAGTCAGCTTGGATTTACCAAGGGGAAATCATGCTTGACTAATCTGATAGCATTCTATGATGTGATGCCTGAATGGATAGATGCAGGGAGACCAGCTGATGTAGTCTACCTTGACCTTAGCAAGGCGTTTGACACAATCCCCCATAACATCCACCTGAGCAAGCTCAGGAAATAAGAGATAGAGGAACAGGCAGTGAGATGGGTCGAGAACTGGCTGCACAATAGAGAGCATAACGGGTGGTGATCAATGGTGCCAAGTCCAGCTGGAGACCTGTAACTAGTGGAGTCCCCCAGGGATCAGTGCTGGGTCCAGTCCTGTTCAACATCTTCATTAACAACCTGGATAATGACACAGAGTGTCTGCTCAGCAAGTTTGCTGATGACACAAAACTGGGAGGTTTGGCTGCCGCACCTGAAGGCTGTGCAGCCATTCAGTGAGATTTGGACAGACTGGAGAGCTGGGCCAAGAGGAACCTCATGAGGTTCAACAAGAATAAGTGCAGAGTTCTTCACCTGGGCAGGAGTAATAAAATGCACCAGTACAGGTTAGGAGGAGTTCTGCTAGAGAGCAGCTCTGGGGAGAAAGACCTTGGAATCCTGGTGGACAACAAGTTGTCCATGGGACAGCAGTGTGCCCTTGTGGCCAAGAGGGCCAATGGTATCCTGGGGTGCATTACGGAAAGTGTGTCCAGCAGAACAAGGGATGTTCTTGTGCCCATCTACTCTGCGCTGGTGAGACCTCACCTGGAGTATTGTGTCCAGTTCTGGGCTCCCCATTTCAAGAGGGACAGAGATCTACTCAAGAGAGTCCAGCGAAGGGCTACGAGGGTGACTGGAGGACTGGAACGCCTGTCTTGTGAGGAGAGGCTGAGAGACCTGGGGCTGTTTAGTCTGCAGAAGAGAAGACTTAGGGGGGATCTAATTAATGTGTATAAATAGATAAGGGCTGGGTGTCAGGAAGGAAGGGGTAATCTCTTCTCACTTATGCCCTGCGGTAGGACACAGGGCAATGGTCACAAACTGGAGCACAGGAAGTTCCGCCTCAATGTAGGGAAGAACTTCTTTACTGTAAGGGTTCGAGCACTGGAACAGGCTCCCCAAGGAGGTTGGGGAGTCTCCTACCTTGAAGACTTTTAAGACCCATCTTGATGCATTCCTGTGTGACCTACGCTAGACTATATGGCTCTGCTCTGGCAGGGGGTTGGACCTTGACAGAGGTCCCTTACAACCCCTAACATTCTGTGATTCTGTGATCTCATTTTAATATTTGTCAGATATTCAACAACAGATTTTCCGCACCACTGAAAACATGCTATAGGGTTCCAGCCCAGAGTGGTTACTTAGCAATTCAGGCAAGCCTGTTCATTGTCTGAAGCTGTAGGACATCCCCTTTAGTTTTAACCACCTTGGATACTAAGTCCTCCTTCAAACTGGTCTAAATAAACGAACCACCAGCAGCTCTTTTATGCAGAAAATATTTTACATTGTGATAGTGTTCTTTCTCTGTAAAAATATAAAACTAGTAGGAGGTGAATATATATGATTAGATCTATAACAAATCTTTTGTGATCTTACCTAATTTGGCTCTTCAGAACATCTAACAGTAGCTACCCCTATGCACAGGTATGCTCATAGATAAGATGAAAGCAGCCCTTCTTGTTAATCATATTGTATATCTGAGTCCTGCTCCTTTCTTCAGTCTTTAAATCAACTTCATCTGATTCTTACTATTTAGTTGTGCAGCTTACCTTTCACAAGGAAATATGCTTAGTGTTGCAGACAGCAGGTCCGATGTGATTAGAATAGGTAAAACAGTGGTTGTTTAATCTGAAATTAGCTAACCATAAAAAACATGATCAGCCACAAAATGAAACTGAGGACCATATCTTCAGTGTAAAGTGACTGGACTTCAGCTTATTTCAGTGGAAGGTATTGAAAACAATGTTCTGGACCATCTTTCTAATGAAAGTTTAATACTTTTCCTTAATAATTTATGGAGCTTATCAAGCAAGGTGCCAGAACAATGCTTGGATAAGTAAGAAACAATCTTATCATATTGTAGATTAATCCAGGGTTTCTAGTCTGCTGTGGCAGGGTGAGGACCTAGGTAGCCAGAATGGAATGATCCTGTCTATGTTAACTAAACCAAACTGAAACAAAAAGTGCCCCTCTATGTGGGGTGCCCGGTTTATTTAGAGTCTTAATTCAGATTCTGTTCAATAGACTGCAAATGCAAGCCAAACAATATCAAGACAACACATGCAAAGGAACATAACAGCTTTGTAAGTTGGGGTTTTTTTTTTGGTCAACAGCTTTCATTTTTTTATTAGCATGACAATGTTTTAATTCCTTTAAATTGTTTGTTTGTTTGTTTGTTTGTTTGTTTTGTTCATAGTTAAACTAAGCTGTATCATTGATGGGTCTGTGAAATTCTGTGGGGACATAACCCAGTAATAAGTCATGTTGCTGAATGTCTATGAAATAGGAATTATCCAGGGAAGGTAGGATATGGTGGGATCTTTTCTAGGAAAGAGTCACTTGTAAGTTACAATGTACAAGTAGGACTTGGTATTTCCCTGTTGTGTAATGTGTTCTTTTAGAGGTTCATTTTGGAGCTGCCATGGCACCTTTACTGCAAATGCTCACTACAACCTTGACACAGGTGGAGGCAGGCAGGGCCTTCTGCAGCTCATGACAGCAGGCTGTGACACTTGGAAAAGTATTGGGGATCTGTGTTTAGAAGGGGATACCCAGATAGTCAGGTCCCTACCTCAACAGTCAAAGGGTCAGCTGAGTCTTGGGCTCCCCCCAAAAACACTGAAATTTCCCCTTCTGGCAAGAATGCCAGCTATGCACCCTTATGTCACCAGAATGCCTAAACAGGTAGAAATGCCACAGCTACCACCTTTTTTCTTTTACAGCTTGAGAACTATATTGTGGAAAACATGAAATCGGAGATGGTGCAGCTGCAGCAGAATGCTGTGCAGAACCACACCGCCACCATGCTCGAGATAGGGACCAGCCTCCTCAGCCAGACAGCAGAGCAGACAAGGAAACTCACGGATGTTGAAACCCAGGTATGTTCCCAGAGGGGTTTTCTAAAAGCTGTTAAATGAAGAGAACTTTCTCAATTCTCTTTCTTTTCTAATGTATCACCACAGAAAACATTTCAACACATGACTCCAAGAAACACACACACTGTTTCTTGGTACCAACAGTGGTGATGACTGACCCTTGCTACACATTTCTTTTGAGTGTGATTTAGTCAGTATATTTAGCTTTGTGTGTGTAAGGCAAGAAGGACTGTGCAGGAAACTAAATCAGCATTTGACTTCAAATAAACAGCCCAGCTACCAACTATGAATGATACACATGTCACAATAAATAATGAGTTTCAGTCTATAACAGAGCCTTTGATCTCCATTGATTTTTGCCTCTTTACTAAATACAAGAAAGCTTGTTTATTTTCTGTAAGATGTTTCCAGCTATTTGAAAAGCGGTGTATGTTTGCAGCTTTTAAACTCTGCAGAGAGAGGGACAAACATCAGTTTTGTTATAAAACACCGTGTATTTGTTAGTACTGTAAAATCGTATAACATCACATGAATTTAAAGAGCCATCTCTATATTATTCCTAGAATTAAAATCACTGTTAGGATTGAAATTATATGAGTATCACTGTCATAACACAGAGTATAATTTCATACTGGGCTTAACACATAGCTACATAGTACTTTTTGTCTTTTGACCTTTTTTTATTGGTTTAAGACGCTTATTAATTTTTATTATTTTTGCTGACTTCTTGATCTTTGTAGCATGTGGTGTATTACCAGCTGCATTGCATTCACTGTTTTTATAACAGGTGAATTAAAGTATTGCATTTGTTTGTTCTAGCAGCATACGTACTTCTTGAAAGATTATATTATCTGTTCTAATGTCCTTAGTCATGCTTACAATATTACCAAGTTTTTACATAATCATATCCCTGTACACTGAGAAAGAACAGTAATTATAAAAAACATACGCTGTCCTACATGAGTTCCCTATACCTTTTTCTCCACATCTTGGTTAGTAGATCAGCTCTCACTTAGAAATGTTGTGATCTCAAATGACCACAGTTTCCAAAACATAGTACAGTGGCTTATGAAATTGTTGGGGAAAATCTTTAATTCAGTATCAACAGAATATTTAAATGGAAACCTAACAGGTGAGGACCTATGAACTGTAGTATCATATGTTCAGTAAAGTAAAAGAGGATATAGGAACTCTTCCTTATATCCCAATAGACCAAATTGGGTCTAAGTGTTGAGTACTCATTCATGTTTCTCCTTTTAAGCAGGCAAGGGACAAAATATTCATTGTCTCTGTCTTAATTTTCCTTTGTGAAACCACTTCAAGGTAGAGGTATCACTAGCAACTTCAGGAAGGAGTGAATGCCTTCCTCCTTCTATAACTATTGCTGAAGAATTTAAGGGATGTTCAAGATAACAAGGGGAGTGGGTCTTCCTTGTTCCAGTACTCCAGTACAGCTCAGTGATGGTATTTCCCATCTACCTTCTTTCAGCACCACAAGAAAGCCTTTGTAGCCCCTGGTTCTACCATCAGTCAAAAAAGAGTGGTGCAGGTGACTCAAGAAAGTGAAGAGATTGCTCTTGGCAGTGATGAAGATAGCCAGCTGCATGCCAGAGAGGTGAAGGTCTGCAGGATACAAGGAGGAAAAAGGAAGGCCTGGATCTCATGCCTGTAACTCTGGTACTCATACCAGAGTAAGGAAGAGTCTAATAGACTAAAGATAGAGCCTCCACCTCCTTAAAATCTCAATGACCCCTCCCAATCCCTGATACATCCAAAATCCCACTGATTCTTTTTAGGCTTTCTTTTCTAACTGAAGGTCTATTGACATTTTGTAGGTTGCTCCACAGATGTCTCCTCTGGAAATCTGTTGGTGCTCTCCTGTCTTCTTACACCTTGACAGCCTTCATAATACACCTTCAGTTTCTGCCAGGTCCTTCTGAAAGTGTGCTGATGCCTCCAGGCACCTCCAAATGTATCCTTCTTAAACAACATTACAGCTGCATACTAATAATTTCCAAAATTTTCAACCCCTGTACCCTTAAAAAAGGACAAGGCAAGTTGCTCTGTGAATGTCAACAATTTCAAACAAAAATAAGGCACTGGATTAAGTTTGAGACACATTCTTTTTGCTTTATGTTCTGTAACAAACTCCTATCAGGCATGCATGAGAAAATATTACCATGTAACCCTTTGATGATACTGATAAATGTCCTTCCAAGAAAGATCTTAAAGGCTTCATTAAAGAGCAACCATTTCTGGAACTGAAAATTATGCCATCTCAGCTGTTGTGTACACACATCTACAAAAACTATTTACACACACTCCTTCAAACTCTGTAATGAATGATGACATCCCATCATAATCAACAAACAATATTATTGCTTTCTTTCTCGAAAGCATTCTGTTTTTTCCACTTTTGAGCTATTTTTCTGTTAGAATCTTTTCTCTTTTATCTAGTTGAAAGGCTTTTTGGTCCAATTGTACTTGGTGAAACTTGTGCTATTAATACAGACCACCACTTAAGTGAAAGACAATTGCAATAAAGCAATGTTTAGGATCACAGCCTTCTTCTTAAAAAACTGTGTTAGAGTGCAAGTAGTGATAACATAAGCAGACACCAGACTTCTGCCAACACTGCAAAAGAAAGAACTCAGGGGAAAGCTAAAGCAGGAGCTCTATTTACAAAACAGCGGATGCAACAGCTTGGCTTCACTCCAAGTACTCTTGCAGTCTTCTGGTTTAAGCATGCTTTGTAGGAATGCATGTCTGAGGCATGCTTCTTGTTCCTTCCATTGAAAGGAAGCTTATTTGATAATCACTTTTTTTTTTTTTTTCCTGACTGTCTAGTATCATTCTGGAGTAAACAGGGTGCCAGAATATCAGCTGGTACTTATCAATATAGTTTGATCGAGTTCATTTGCAGAAGTTGAGCAGCTGAGGTTATAAAAGGATTTTAAAACAGTTTTTGACAAATCAAATCAGAATGAAATGGTTGCATTATGTTGCTATAACAACATGACCAGGACAATATAAACACTAATGTTTTTAATTTATCTTTAAGGTGCTAAATCAAACATCCAGACTTGAAATTCAGCTGCTGGAAAACTCACTGTCAACGTACAAGCTAGAAAAACAGCTGCTACAACAGACACATGAAATCCTGAAAATTCATGAGAAAAACAGGTAACAACGAGTCATTGGTCCCTTATACTCTTTCCCTGTTCATCACAAAGTGGTCTATGCATACTTTGTTCTAAGCAACTGGTGAAATGGAAGAAGTGAATATGCTGTTGAAAGTATAGGTGATATTTATGAAATGGCTAAAAGATTTAGGGTGTGAAATTACACTGTGTTAGCTCCTGTATGATAAATGCAAGTTGATTTTTATTACTTTTCATATGCACTGTAAGTTTACATCTCAATTTGTTTCATGACAACTTAGTCATACAACCACAGTTCCTGCTACTGAAAAGCTTTGAGATAACTTGGATGAGGACTTGCAAGTAGAAAAACGTTAATAATAAAAAATGAGATTATCAGCTACATTAAGGAGTATAAGAAATAGAAAATCTTCAGTAGTTCAACTTTCTAATTTCAATGGATACAAAAATCTAACATGTAGAAGGATCTCTGCCTTTAGACTCAAGTGTATATAGCATACTTGGAGCCATGCCCTATTTAAAGAACAAGTAAATAGTGAACATTTGGGTTTCATATTGAAAGAGAAGAATAAAGCTGCTTAGCAGCACATAACATCTTAAGCAGTGAATTGACAGTTAAGAGGAAATTTCTGTGACATAATGACTCAGTACCTGGAGTCACTGGACTTAGTATTGCAGAAGACTTCTGTGTTTAGTTGCCCTTGCTCAACTGCCAGATGCACGGTAACCACTCTCTCACTGCACCTTGTCAACAGGCCAGAGGGAGAAAATATGACTAAAAAGCTCATGGTCAACATAGAGACAGGGAGATCTCTTACCAGTTACTGTCATGGGCAAAACAGCCCTATTTATTACCAGTTAATAACAGCATGTGGTGGTGAGAAATAAAAACAAAACCAAGACCTTTCTACCCTACTTCCCTTTCTTCCCAGGCTCAACTTCAAACATGACTCTCTCTCTCTCCTCCAAGAAGTGCAAGGGTATGAGGAATGTGGGCTGTGGTCAGTTCACAACATTTTGCCTCTCCTTCTTCCTCATGCTCTTTCCCTTCTCCAGTGTGGTTCTTTGCCAAGGGCTGTAGTCCTGTAGGTAAGATTGCTGCAACATGGGCTCTCCACTGGCTGTAGCTTCTCTTTGGACATCTCTATGCTCCTGTGTGAGGTTCTTCATGGGAAATACCTGCACCATCATGGTTTCTCCCACAGGCTGCAGGAAAACCTCTGCTCTGCTAACTTGTTCTTCTCTAACCTTGGTGTCTGCAGTATTGTTTCTCCCACTTTTTACTCCTCATAGGAGTAAAAGAGAGGAGAGAGTCCTTTCACTTTGCAGCCTCACTCTCTTTTCCCTTCTAAAAAGAACAACTGTGAGGTAAGTCTGACTAGGATAGTGGTTTCTTACTTCCTGTACATTTGACATTGAAATAAGGCAAATATCTTGAAAAGTGAGGTAGTTACTGAAGTGTCCTGTACAAGCTTTAGAGGACTGCTTAAAGTGAGAACAAACAGTTTGCTAAAAGAGGGAGCACGACTCTGTTGCTGCTGGACAGGAATCAGCAATTCAGGCAGAGAGACTTTGCCCAGGGTTATATGTGAGGAAAACTAACAACACAGTGGGCAAGGAGCTATTGGGAAAAGAAGGCAAAGAACCAGACAGTGATGAAAAATAGAAAGTGTTGTTACAAACACATGTTTGCTAAATGTGTCTGGTTGCAAAGATGGTTAAATAATATACCATTATTGTTACCAGTTATGAAAAACTACTTATGTATTTAGTCTAACAGCTGTTTATAACCAATAATTCCAGAAGATGTTGTTCTGGAGAAGCTGCATTACATTGCAGACTCTTGAACTCCACAGATTTCCCTTGACCAATTGGAAATATAACTAAATTAGTTTGGAGTTAACTTTGACTTCAGCCATCTCAAAATTAAGTAATTCACCAAAACTGCATATGTAGTCTCTCCATATAGTCCATGGAGAGATGAGGCATTTACAGTTCAAACTACATATTTTGCAAACTTATTTCAATTTTGGATTAACCCAAGCATAGTTAGATATACGAATACTTTTTTATCTGTTACATTCTGGTTAGCCACAAAATTTTATTGGCTGCTCAAGAAACTGAGTCTTATGTACTTAATAATCTGAATTTATTTATTTATCTTAGCAATGTGTCAGGGTGTAAAGCCTTCGTGTCAGTAAACAAGTTTTACTTAAGTTGACCGTTGACTTGGTTGACATTACGATGAAGTGGTCTGTGACAAAATTACTTGCCTTGGTTAAGAAGGAGAGGTATGTTAAAAAGCACACTTTATACCAAGTTGTTTCTCTCAGAACATTAGTTGTATGTGTCTAAATGAAAAAATACATGGGGCTTCATGTTGTAATGAAGCAAAAGTCTGGTATACCCTGACCAAGTTCCATTACTCTCTCCCTGGGCGTGACAAAACTGGGGAGAGTTTATGGTTACCCTATAAAAAAGGACCGTCAGCTCCTATCATGGATACAGGTCAAGATGTATCTACTTGAAAAAAAAACCTGCATGGTCTTGGCCTTGTAAGTCCTGATCCTGATGTGTGTCAAGTCCACTATGGGACAAATCTTGGTAATCACAGCAGATACTAAGTCCATGGGCATGTCAATTATTTTAATTTGCTTAACTTTAAACAATACTTATAGATTACCCATCAGGTTATGTTCAGTATTTAGTTGCAGTTGAATATCTTTCATCCCTCTCCATATCACTTTCTCATCAATAAAATAGGAAAAAAAAAACCTCTTGTAATTATATTATCTACATGGACTGTAAGTTTTTCTGGAAAGAGCCTTTCTTTTTGCAGTAGGTGCACACCACAGTGGGAATGAGTGTAGAAGCTATCATCACAAAAATAATCAAAACAGATGGTGTATTGTAGGCAGGTAATATCTCTCTGTATGCTAAAATTTCCTCTATATAAAATAAGACTTTCAAAGTTTTATTGGCACTTTCAAAGAACTGGATTTTCAGTGAAGGTAAAGCAAAAGCTTACAGTAATAAAAACTGATTGTTGATGTATAATGGTAACTTGTATATTATCCTTAAATAAATTGAACACTACATATCAACAGGGGACCAATGCATGTTCTTTAGACTAGAAATATATCTATTCTTGGCCTTTCTCTATACTTCCTGCCTCTGCTGGGAAGGGTAGCCAATTTTTTTTTTATCCCACTGAAGTGAAAGAGATTCCATGGCATAAGAAGAGTCACACTTGCCCCAGAATCATGTTTCTATTGAGTGCTCCCATGCCATAAATAATTTTGTTTTGTGGGTTCCCACCCACTATAATGTAAATGGTGGTTTCTTCCATTGCCATTTTTTCTCCCACAAGAACTTTCTAAAAACTATTTTGATTTATTCTTGAAAGATTTCCCTGCTTAAGTGCCTGTATAAGGCCCCTCTTCTTTTTCCCTAGAATGTACCAGCTGCATTTAACTAATTGTGTGCCATTTCAATATGCAGTTGAGAAAACAACTTTTTATTTTCTCAAATGAAACAAATGAGGAAAAATATAATGGAATTCTGGATCTTCCAGCAATAAATCTTGAAAATGAAATTTAGACATAAAATTCAACTTGAATTTTCAGACAATCAAACCCAATTAACATTTTCAGAACAAGAACTTTTTTATCCCGGGAAAGGTGAGGACTCAAGAATGATTCCTGAAATTTCATCTGACTGTGAAAGATGAGGAAACACAATATGCCTGACACATTTTATTTGCAGCTTTTGCATATGTTAAAAAGATAAATCTATTTTTTTTTTCACCTTACTTTTGTGATTTCAATGGAATTATCTTGTCACTGGTATAAAAAATTATGGCTTATGGATGCTAAGTGACCCATTACTTTAGTGGCCTTGAGAAACGTGGGGATACATACTCTATTATTTCCTTAAACTGATTGGGTAATATTAAACCACCAGAATAAATGTAAGTAATCAGTATCTAACAAATATAGGAAAAATTTTACTCATGTAAAAGCAGGTACAAAGAAGCAGTCTCAATGAGAAAATACTGTTCTTGCACTCAAAATTATGCATTTAAATCCTCTACCTGTTCATCTTCTTATGCATTCACAATACAAGAAAACCACATGCATACAGCCTAAGAATTTTTTTTTTTCTAGTGTGAAGTTACTTGTCTTTATTTATTGAACAACTTGATAAAGTAAAAGTTTCTATCTGTATTTTTTTAATAAATCCAGATTTTTAAAAATATTATTCTATTGCAAAATATGTCCATCTCTAAGATCTGGGCTATATCCTGTTCTCACATGTCTAAACTGAGGGCTCTGAAAACAAAGATAGAAAATTCTCTTAAACTGCTGTGGTCTGGAATGGATTAGTGAATAAACTACTTACCTTATAAGGCACATTGTGTAAACCAGACTTTCCTTCCTCCCTCGAGAGCTACCAGAGTGCTTTCTATATGTTCTACTTCATCACCTTTCAAAACGACAACAGCTTTCACTGGAAGTCGTTGTTTTAGTTCTGTACGGGCCTTCTACCCTCTCCAGTCTTATCAGAGGGCTTTTTCTGAGTCTCCAGGACACAGCACAGCTGCACAGAGGCATCCCACTGGCTTATAACCTGACAAAGTTAACACATCATTCGTATGGTTGAAAATAGATTTCTCGTCTCGCTAAGATCAGTGGGTTAGACACTGAGACACAGTTAACCTTTAGGAAAATCTTGTCCAGGTTTGAGTGTGTATGTATTTCTTTTTAATTTAATTGTCTTCTAGATAATGAGTACAAAAGTTATTGTCCAATGAATAATATTGGTATTTATTGGATATATTATATATAATGGAGTGGTGATTTATTTTTATTATGAGTGTGATAATTCCCATGACTGCTTCATCTGTCTAGGTCAGTAATGATTTCAAACATATAGGAATTTCAAACATAGAAAATGTGGAGGAATTTCAGATTATTGGGAATGTATACAGTAAACTTACTGTAAAAATAGTCATAACATCATGACCATAACATTTAACTGGGAAGTGTTATAAGAGAGTGTTACATAACAATTTCAGTGGATTTTTACAGATGAATTGGTATAGTGACAGCTTTTTCGATTTGTTTCGTTTAACATTTTATATCAGCAATAGTCATTAATGAAAACTAGTAGAAAGATTTTTGTTTTAATTCTTTCTTCACAATGCCTCTTTAAAAAATTGAGGAATTACCTTTACCAAGCACTCAGCAGATATTTCTTCATGCTATTTGTGGTCTTGCAACTGTAAAAAAAAAAAAAAAAAAAAAAAAAAAAAAAAAAAAAAAAAATCTAAATATCTTTGTTTTCAACCTGTTTGAAGATTTTTTTTTTTATGAGGATTCTAGCACTTTCTTTTTAAAATTAAATGAGCTGTAACAAATATGAATATAAAAATATATTGAAAACTTCTGGACAAATTGGAGTCAAAGGCCATACCAGCAGCTTTTCTTGTATTAAGCGTTTCTTCCTTTTAGAACAGCCCTGTGCAGAAATTCCCAATCTATGCGTGAAGTTTCTGCTTTTGTTCATTTGCAGCATGGACCAAAGTTTTCTCATTGATCTTAGTAAAACACAATGAATGTTTTTGATTTCTCGCAGGAGTACAGGGAGTGGTCCTATCCTCAAGACATATTCTTATCTCTTTTAGATATATGGATATAGAAAGATCATTGCCTAAATGCATATGCATTCCATAAAATAGCTTAGTTTTGCAGTTTATAATAACAGGAATTTTAGTCTAAATAGAAAACTGTAAAGGAACCAAGTGCTGTGACACTCCCATCTTTTCACCACATGTTGTTGACACACCACTCATAAGGATGTATTATTACTAAACCCATAAAACATCTGTGTGATGTCTGTCTCTGGAGATGCCAAAATGGGAAGCTCTAAGTATTGTCAGATTCTTCCTTCTTGCTTGACATGGCCAGTGTTGCTACAAATAAGATTGTCATCACCATGGGTTCATTTACTGTGGTCTTAGGAAGGCTATGGTGGGAAACAAATAATGCAATGCACAAAGAGTGGCTATCAGAGGCTCTTTTTTTTTTTTTTACATTAAATCATCTAGATATAGAAATTATTTAGATGTAGACATGCGACTAAGATGTTGTGAAATTAGGGAAATGCCCCATACCGTATGAGGATACGGACAGAGATAAAGGGAACTTTTTTTGTCTTTATTTACCATTTAGCTGTAAAACTATATTCTGGCTTCAGGAATGGCATCTTCTCTTACATTGACAACATACAACAGTTTCAATGGACTGAAGTGGGATGGAGCCACACCCAGCACCCATTCTACCACAGACTGTACCCAGAACTATCCAAAGTGCATTATGGAACTTATAGTCTATACAAAAAGTTAAAATCTAGAGTCAAAACCAGCATTTCTATAGTTTCTGTGAAAAAGTGGACATAACTGACAGAATTCACATAAAACTTTTTTTTTTTTTTAACAGTAGTTTATGATTAAAACCAGTTCCATCAGAACATTTTTTACTTCAGACTTACTAATCAGTCTTAAGTTCTGCATAACCAAGCTCAGAGAGTTCCACATAAATACGTGCAAAAAAATCCATGTGAGTCTAGCGCATAAAGGCATTGTGTTAAATGTTAGAGTTCAGGTGATGAAAAAAAATCAGCTATAGGTATGATAAGGTGTTAAAATAATATATTTTGTTTGGTTTCAGAGTCCATGCTTTGTTTCAGATTGAAACTTTCTATCATCTGATTCCAGTCCACTGGATCTTGTTATGCTTTTGTTACAAGTTAATGAGTCTTTTAGAATGAGGTATCATATTCCCCTTTGCATCTGGGACCCCACGAAAAAGTGTTTTTCTTTCTCATCTTTTCTTTTTTTCCCCCTTAACTCAGATCCTTCTGGCTTTCACAGAGCTAGATATGTTGATATTACAAAGTATATTTTCTTCAGTATCTTTGTAAGTTCCACATTTATAATGTTTCAGAAAAAGAGACTTGTTGCTTGGTTTCCTCTATTTAAAAAAAAAAAAAAAAAAAAAAAAGTTTTGTATTACTCTAGCTTGTACAGCAAATCCAGGGTCTGAATTTAATCTTTGCATTGTTATCATTTGTAACAGCTCATATTAAGGCTCCATGATATCTAGTAGAAACAACTCCATATGGATTTTATTACATTCTTCAACTAGGTTAAATGACCTGAAATTATGCAGGCATTTTGCCACTGATCTATTATCCAGAAGTAAAAACAAAGGTGGGGGGAGAGTGCAAATAAATAAGACCTAAGGTTGACTTTTACAAACAGGAAGCAGTTTGTTGGCACGTTTGTAGCCACCAGTTGGTTTATGGGCATGAAAAACACCTCTTTTGCTGTATGCAGTAAAATTACTCAACAGAAAGTAGCAGAGGGATTGAAATATTTTTTTTTTATCTAATATTAATAAATTATTTCTGCCAAACTCTCACCATAGCATCAAAGCATTGGCGTGAAAAAAATCTTCTTGTTCACTGTTGACAGTTATTAGCTATCATTTATGTCTACAACACTTTTATTCTTCCAGATATAATCTGATATGCCTTTGGTTTTTGTAAATTGTATACTTCCAACTCAGGACAGAGAGGAAACACTATAAAAAAAAAATATATTAATCAGGAGGAAATGTTTCCATACATGTGTAAAATTATTCATAAAAATTGATGTAAGCAGTTCACATAGCATGGTGCAAAATTTCTGTCTAAGGAGCCTTTTGTGGAACCAGAAAAGGCAGGGTCGCCATATGTTTGTGGACTCAAGGAAAACAAGGGAAGTCTACCTTAAAATGCAAATTTCTGATTTGTCTTTTGAGAAAACAGTACTATTCTTTATGTGAAAGCAGATTCCAGTCATCTGGTGTACAATTCCTCTCCAAGATTCCAAGACCACATCAAATGGTGTTTTTATTGTGGGTTCCATATCCCTTGATGGTATTCCATAGCTCCTAATGCTTAACTCCCATGAAGTGGCAAGGCCCTTCATAAACTCTTTGGTTTACCCCTGATTTTTGTCTCTTATCATATTGACCCATCTGTACTATTAATAATGTCCTCTTCAATGCTCTGTTCTTCTCCTTCCTTTGCCTACCTTAAGCTTTTCTGCCTGAACTTCTATATACAAACGTGTTACTGTCTCTATGCTCATGGGCTTGGGTGGCTATAACAACTAGATATGCAGTTCCATGCACTTTAAGCACTACTGTATGCAAACATCACAAAATGCAGCCCTAGGGATCATTTATATTTGGCTCTTTGATAGAGAAATTCATTGGATGAATTGGTAGATGTGACCATTTTAGAATAAATTATTTATGTGTTAAATTCTATGGTGAAAATGAAAATGAATAATTTGTAGGCATGACAATTATCTACTAATTGTTTTATTTTATTTTAGTTTACTTGAGCACAGAATTTTAGAAATGGAAGAAAGGCATAAAGAGGAGTTGGACACTTTGAAGGAGGAAAAAGAGAACCTACAAAGCTTGGTCACACGACAAAGCTACATAATCCAGGAACTAGAGAAGCAGTTAAACAAGGCAACAAGCAATAACAGTGTCCTGCAGAAACAGCAGCTTGAATTGATGGATACCGTTCACACTCTGATCACCCTTTGTTCCAAGGAAGGAGGTAAGAAAAGGGCACTATAAAACATTAGAAGTACTAGAACATTTATTCTGAAGTAAGTCCTGAATTTTTGGACAGGCAGAATTTATTGTGCATATTTCAAGAAAAAAACATATTATAATTAAGGACAAAAGAGATGATGAGAACCCACAAATCAAATAAGGTTCAGATAGTGCTGAGGCTGACCCTTGTACTGACAGCCATATTTGATTTTTGGAGTTTAATACAATTGAGTTGTTATATCTTGATTATAGCTGGTGTAGGCCATAATTCCACTGACTCCGCATTAGCAATGCTGATTTGTTCCTCTGAACATGTGTCTCCTCCTGCGAGGAGTAATCCAACCAGCTGTGGATGTTAACTGTAGAGATGTCTATATATAATTTACTCTAGAATTCTTTTACAATCAGTGGAGAGAACAGGGTCCTAAATGAAGGAAAGTAGCACAGAATTTTGTACGCAGATGTGAGTTATAATGTTGATGAACTTAGATATAAGCACTTATGGTGCTGTCAACATCTAAAGGAGGAATCTTTTCTCTTGAACTAGATTTTATTTATAATAATGGATTATTTTTCTTCCTTCTGCCTTGCTGAATTTTGTTTGTTTCTGGGTGCATTAGACACACTACACACTGAAAAGGTAAGAATAGCATCCTTTGAAAGAAGGGGTTGACAGTTTAGAACAATTCTCAAGTTTGCTTTTCTTAAGTAAACAGGTTTCTTATAGAGAAATTTTAAAATTTTAAATGCTAAAGACACTACAGTATGTCTCTGGAAAGAATTCCCTTCATCAGAACCGGGAGAGGGAGTCAGTTTGAGTCAAGGGAGCTATGTGCATGGAGACCATTATAAAGGATGGAAATAGGACACTGGTAAGAAAAAGTTAGTAACTATGAAAAACAAGGCAAAGTGATACAGAGGAGGAGGAGGAAGAAATGTAAGGGAGAATATAATAGAAAAGGCATATGCTAAATCTAACAGCTAAAAGGGGATTAATAGATATGTCTGGTATAGTGTAAAGAGGGTTAAAAATATTGAGGGAAAGAAAGTTGAGGAAATAAAATAATACCAATCTAGGAAGAAGACATCAAAACCCTTCTGAGAAAGGGTACAAGGTAAACTTAGAGAGAAACTGTAGATATGAAAGTTAGGCTAGTCATTCAGTGAGTGTGGAAGCATGGATGAAAGAAATCTCTGAGGTTGTGTACCAGCAATCTGAAGAGCTCATTGTAATTCTAAAGATCTAAGTGCCATAAATTTATGTAAAAACCAAAAGAAAAAAAAAACCAAACCAAACAAACAAACAAAAAAAACCCAAAAAAACCCCAACCAAACAAAAAACCCCAACCAAACAAGCAAAAAAACCCACCACAAAAAACACACACACAAAAAAAGAACTCACAGACAAACCGAAAAAACTTCATCCTCCCAATCAAAACCTTGTCACCTGTGTTGTTATTCAATACTCTGTTTAAGAGGCAGAAGACATTAGATCATTCAGACTTTTCAGCTCGAGGCAGTGTGGGTTTGCTCTCAGCTATATATTCCCATGCAACTTGTGTGGCTTAAATCTAAAGTACTCCAGTGATGAGGATTACATCTCTTCCTTTGGAAGCGTTGCATGCTTGGGCCCATGTTGATAGACTACATTTTTTTTAAAAAGATTATTTTTTTTCCTCCTCATGTTCATTCTAAATGTTACCTTCTGCTTATTCTATTATACAGTTCTCCAGCATTTTGAATTAAATAATATCTTTCATAGTAGGCTGTTCTCGTATCAGTAGAGAAACAGTGATTCAATGCAAATCCTTTATTATGTTTTACTGTCTTTTGGCAAAGAAACCTGGCAAAGCTGTGTTTGGAGTGTTCTAATAGAGCTCAGGAGTACTTTAAAATTAATATTGAAATTAAAGATATATTATTCTTATACTGTTATATACTTCATGTTCTTTTTAAGGTTAGAAAGATTTTTTTTAACAATTTTGAATTTGATTCAAAGAAAAAAAAAAACAAAAACAAACAAACAAAAAAAACAACAACATTTTTTTCATTTCCTCAGCTGTTTCTTATAAAAACTTTGAGCGAGGATTACAGAAGTGGATGTTTCAAATGGGGCTCCTGGGTACAAATTCAGGTGCCTGAAAATCTGAATTTTTAGCATTTTTTTTTTTTTTTTTTTTACTTCTGAGGATCTGTGGAAGGAAAAGATGCTCAGTATAGTTGACCATTTAAGTATAATAGCCTTACTCAAACCCTTGATTTTGGTTTCTGTTACTTTTTGTGTATTAACATGTTCAAATTTTCCTTGGACACCTTTTTTATTTAAAGAGAAATAATTGCAAAAATGTCTCTACCTTCTGTCTAAGTCTAGCTGACCAACATTTTTGGTAAGAACATTTACAGCTAAAAAATGAGTCAGACAGCTTAAGTTAAAATAATAATATTATCCTGGAGCACAAGACCACTTTAATGAAGGCTGAATACCAAAGCACTTAGTTGTACCAAAAATTAAGAACAGCTCCAGACTGTGCAAATATGTGTTGAAGATTGGAAGGTATGCATGTGGGAAGTACCACTGGAGCTACTCTAAATTCACACAAAAAGATTAAATTTAGATAGTCTTACACACGTCTTTATGTGTGCGCTAATGTTTGAAATGTAAAGTACACTGTGAGAACTGGTGTTTATAGGGAGATAGAGTATAACAAAACGTGATACATAAATCAATGACACTCCTTCTGTCTAATACTTTGGTAAATCTCAATCGTCTAATTTCATAAGGGATATAGCAGAAATGGAAATGGTCCAGAAAAGAATAGGATGATGGAAATAATTAGAGACCTGGAACAATTTCCATGTGAGGAGACAGAGCTGTACCACACAGAACTACTAGATGGGGAAGAAGGTATGTGGGATGCTGTTATGGAAGTATACAAAATACCTAATGGCAGGGAGAAAAGGAACAGCCAGTAACACTGAGAGAGATTTTTCCACTGATAAAAGATAGGACTTGGTGAATTTAAATAATGTTGCTAAGTATCATTGAGATTGATAAAGATTTTTGAATTACTAGAAAGCTGAAGTGCTAGCAAAGGATGGGTCTCCTTTGAGACTTCTGGATTCTAACTAGAGACACTTATCTTTGAATGAAAGCATAATTCAAGTGAGGCATCAGGTCTAGGAAGCCAGACAGTCAAAGATGAGTAACTTCCTCAAGGATAAACACTGCAGTTGAGAGGAATTTAAAAGTAATTCTAAATCCTGTGGTATATTGAGAATGGCTTTAAGTACCTTTCTTGGATTTTCAACTGTAAATTAAAATTGTAAGTCTATATATTTTATATTGCATTTATGTGTATATGTTTTGAAAAATTTAATCTGTATCAAGAAACATAAAAATGTCTCCAAAATAAGTCACAGACAGGGAAATTATGTTCTTCCATGCATAAGTTATACTATTCAGGGTTTTTCAATCTGTGAAACTGAAATTAGTATTTTAAAAACTATTTTTAATAAAAAAAAAAAAATACAGCTAAACAGCTTTATTTGAAACCAAGCTGGTGATAAACATTGCTTTCTGATTGCAAAATATGAGATAAATTTCCTCCAGTGGTGATTTAATCAGATTTATTTTTAGATTAATTTAAATAAGTAGGGAAAACTTCAGAGGTTTGCCTGCTGGGAGCCAGTGAATAATGTAGCTGAACAGTGTAGAGACACAAGGCTGCATAGAAACCGCTTTTGTTTAGTTTCACACTCTGAGAAGCTTAGCTAATATAGTCCCTAGTGATGGATATCAACCTTAAGAAATGTGCTTTAGTACTTACCACAGATAGACAAACTTTAGGAGAATTTCTGAAGGATATAAAGGTAAATGAAGAAGAAAGAAATAAGTAAAAGCCATACAAAGGATAAATTTTTAAAATATCGATGGGCCTAAATACAAAATCCAGATCCCACTTTCAGTGTCAGTTTTGGTACACACCAGTTTTGGGATGGGTGCCACCTGTAAAACTTGGAATTGTTTGTGAGTTTGGTTTTCAAAATACCACCCACCTCTGTCCCAGTGTGAGTGATTCTAGGATTTCAGTTGCATGTAATCCTTAAAATAGACACTCTAATAGGTCACAAAGCCTACACAGAGTCAAATATATGCAGGGTACCACTGGGACTCGCATGTCTCCATTTTGGCCTGCATCTATGGCTAAATAGGTTTGTCACATTGCCTGCATATTTTTTAGGCAGGGACAACAACCTTCCCAGTGGCTGCAAATCACTTTATACAATAGAATTTCTAAAAAAAATCACTTTCAGGCACTAGCTTTCCAAATGAAATAATTTTTCAATATGGTGAAAAGGTAACTTTAAAAAGATTAACTGATTTCCAAATTCAAATATAGATAAATGCCTGAAATTTTTGCTTTTCTCCAACAAAAGATGGAGAAACAGAAAGGTTGAGGTGAAGGCTTAATCACTGTAGAGATAGTGCGTGTCTATCTCCAAGACTGTAGAAGTCCTTCACCTGGAGCAGATAAAGGTTAGAAAGGTCACAGCATTCTTTGTAAAGATGATTAAAGAATCTTTGATTATTGTTTTCTCTAAACTGTTCATTCCTCATACTACTATGAGTATTATTTGTCTGAGGATGAATAAAGCATTTTGGCACATTGCTGTCATTGTCAAATAATAAATCTGTAACACAGTAAATAGTTTAGTGACAGACTTCCTAACCTTCCACATCAGAAAAATTACTTATGAAGAGGATATGTAGTGCTAAGTAGAGAGTCATAAAAATATTACTCAAAAAAAAAATTCCACAAAACAAGGAATACAGTATAAATTATGTTAATTAGTAGATAATATCATTATCAGAGAAGTGTATACAAGTTCCAACTAAGTAATTCAGAAATTGTGTTGGTCCAGTGGGACATTGTTTCAAGACAAACATCACAAAATCAAAAGTCACATTGTATTTTCTAATCCATTGTCTTTTTATTCTGG